GGTTATATTATATTATTATTCAATTACAATAAATTTATAACATATATTAGTTAATTTTGCATCGGTCAGAAATTTCCTTCAGAAATTTAAATAGAAAAAAAGATCGTGATCGCGATCTTTTTTTTAAAAAAAGGTCGATCCTGGATTTCGATCCTCTTTTTTTGAAAAGATCGTGATCGGGATTCGATCGTTTTAAAAAGATCGGTTAACAAGCCTGAATTTAGATATCATTATACATATACCAATGTTAGGAAAATGACATGATAATATTTTATCTTATATTTTCGGAAAATAAATACTTCTGAGGCTAATATTTTAAAGAGTTAGTTTAGCATATGATTTATTAGAATATATATTTTTTGAATTAAAATTTTACATAAATTTATTTTTAAGTTTTTTATGCCCGAAAAAAAATTTGCATATTTTAAAATCTAAATTTAACAAAATAAGTTCAAAAATATTTTGGTTATCAGTTTTAGAAAGATGAATAATGGCAAGATATTATATGATTTTTTAATTTAAATAAAAAGTATTATTTAATGCCATAGTTGATGTTCCGAAAATCAAATTTTGTTTGGTTATTAAATGGATACCTTTTGCTCAGACCGTAAAATACTTGTGTAAGTTATTCAACCCAGCAAAAAATTTTGTATGATGTAGGAAAATAAACTAATTCTAAGTTCATAAAAATTTGCTAATTCCTGACTTGTAATAATATTTTGCACAAGTCATCCAATGCGTCTCAAAAATATTTTCTTCATGCTTGCAGCATTAGAGATCTGCAAAGTTAGGCCCGGCCTGTACCCGCCCGAGTCCGACCCGACCCAAACGGGCTTCGGGCCAGGCTTGGGCCTAATTTTATTTTAAATATTCGGGTTCGGGTCGGTCCTTGGAAATTTTTCTAAATATATCTAAATTTATCCATTTTATATTGAATTTTTTATGTAAAATAAAAAATTTTGATTTTATTAATGAAACTAAACACCATATAACATATGTCCTTTATTTTGAGTAATTATAAAAATTAATTTCTATACTTACAGTCCGGGCAAGGCCGGTAAATGCCAGGTCGGGCTTGAAAAATTAGGCCCGATGCAGATCACTACGCAGCATGTCTTCAGGATATCGCCTAATAATAGGTTTATTGAATTTGTTTTACAATATATCAACATCAAGGACATTTGAAAAATCCTTAATCTGATTAGCTTTTGGCGATATTATAATACCGACTGTTACATATGATATATCCTGTTCACATAAAGATTGTAACAGTGAAATATTCTAATATAGAAATGTAAATGTGGATTAGTTAGTTATGATACAACAATCCTAAAAATATATATAAATAATCCTTTATAATATATAACTTAACTGAGGGTAATAAATAAAATCTGTCTGTTCGAGATAACATACTCATTTATTAAAAAGTGCAGTGGTAATGAAATCGCATTTCATTAAAAAAATATCTTCAAAAAATTTTTTTCTATATTAATATTGCCCCAATTCATAATATATACAAACAAAACAAGACATTAAATTTCGCACTGTACAGTTCAAAAAAATTTTCCGACACAATGTTGGTCTCCTTGAACAAAGTGTTAAGGAAAACTCTTTCACTAATTGTGCTAGTTGCCGGAATACAATTTTTTTTAGCTAGCGTTGAAAAATTATGAAGTTCAATTCTCTTTTCTCTCCAGAAATTTAGAACATCTATATCCTGTGAATTATGTTTTCCGAGAAGAATATTGGATTTTTGCTCTAAATGGCTTAAGTGGAATCATGATTTGTACTTGTTGAATGTTTAATTGCCAATTTTGCCAAATAATTTGAATTTAATATTCAATTTTGAATCTTGATTCTCAATTGCTCTATTTACTACCCTAATATGATGATACTCTATATATTTAAATGTTTTATAATAAATTCCGACGCTGAGTAATTTTGTTCTATTATATATACTTTGACACAATTTCCAATTTTTGAAATCCAAGGTCTAGTGGAGAAGCCAACATTTAACCGGAAAATCGCAATGAAGTTTTTTAATGCTTTAGGAAAATGATTTTAGAGCTATCATTATCATTATCATTTTCTATTAAGTTTGCTAAAATCACTTCTAAAAAGTAATGCTAAGCAAGAAAAGCTAATAATTCTTTTACGAGATCTGATTTATAGTTTGTTAGTTTTATATAGTGTTTCCCAATTCTTTTCAAGCCGATATTAATTAAATTTTTATTTGCTCCAGACCAGATATCCTTTCAAGCATAATTAATATATTATGCCAACTGGTTAAACCATTTAATTTTAACATTCTATATGTGTGTTTGAAAACCAGGGTATATATAATTGCTATCATTAAGTAGCATATCTATTGTACTCAGCCATTTTCTTTGTTCTGTTTTCAACTTAAATTCAATCTCTGCAGTTTTATATCTTAGAGCAGCAGTAATAATTTCTCTTATTCTTTTAATAGAACCATCAACAAGAGATATTTGATACCATCTGTAATGTAAACAGATTATGCCCATGACCCAAGCATAAGTGGTGTTCATACAGGGTTGGGCAAATTTTCAGAAAATTGTATTCGGATACAGATACAGATACTTTATAAAATTTTGTATTTTAGATACTAGATACTTTAGAAAAATTTCAATAAGATATAAGATACAAGATACTTGTATTTTTTTTAAAAAAAAGTATATAAGATACAAGATACTTTTTTAAAATCTTTAAATAGTCAAAATCAAAATGTATAAAGCTTTATTTTCTTATCTATAATATAAATTTATAAAAAAATATTTAAAATAAATTGTAGAAAATATTAAATTTATTATAAAAGATAATGCGATATTCCATTTAATAATTATATAATTAGTAAATAATAATAAATCAGCATCATATATCAGCAATATTTTTTAATATTATTAATTTTTCAAATGATTTATCGTTCAATCTGTCGATTTGGTCTATTAACCATATTAGCAAAGCTAAATAATCTTCAACGGGGGCGGAGGAGGATAATATTGTGTTATATTTAATAAATATTTCTTTTACCTGTCATCTTTCATATAATTTAGGACCTCTATTTCAATAAATGCACTTAAAATTGTTATCAAAATCATATATATTTTTAAATCTTTTATTTAAATAATTTTCTATGGCAATAGCTAATGGTTTGCAAAATTGTAGATTGGTTTGAATTAAATTTGTATTTTTTTTAAACGACATTTAAAATTGGAGCTGATTCTCCATAATAGCAGTTGATTTCACTCTGTATTTTGTCAATCGCTATAGCCAATGGGGCCATAATATTGCAATATTCTTCTAAATATTGAATTTCAATATCTCTTAATTTAGGAAATTCTAATTTTTGACATAATTTAGGAAGTTCGCCTTTAAATTTTAATAAACTATGAAGACTATCATACAAACTATTACATCTAGTGCAACAAGGTGTAACCAATTGTTTTCCTAAAACTGTTTTGATAAGTTCTGCAGTTTTAGGCCTATTATTTGCATTCCATAGCATAGTACATTTAGCTATTGCAGGATGATAAATTTTAGAAATGTTAGGAGAATCCTTAATAGCTCTCTCGACATTTGTTGTGGTAATTAAACTTATCGTATGGCACAAACAACAAATGTGCTGAGGCAATGTTATTGAGGCTTCTTTATAACCTTAAATAAACAAATAAATAATTTTATTTGAATAAATTTTTTTTACTAAATTTACAATATCATAATAAATTTTAAAGAAGTATTAGATAATACTTTCAATGATTTTGAATTCTATACATTCATCATCATTGATGTCAGAGTCATTCTCTACAGCTTCCATAGAATATTCAAACTACTTGAAAGCTTTTTTAAAGTTAGAGCCGTTATCGTAACAGTTGCTATAACTTTTTCGTCAATACCAAAGTCACGATGAATTTCTTTATTATGATCATCTTGAAGTACTTCAAAAAATTTGCCATTAAGTATGCTTAGTTTAAATTTATTATTATAATTTTCGGTTGAAGAATCATCTGAAGACGAAGATAAACATATTATTCTATTTTCTTCTTCCATAATTTTAAAATAGACAGATATAAAACGATTCAAATATGGTAGTTCTAATTGTTAGCAAATTGCTATATGACGACCAACGTCATATATCAAAAATTATCTTAAAATATCTAAATTTTGATTAAATTTTTCATTTAAATCTTAAAACAATATCATTTTAAATTTTAATACTATTTAAATTAACGAATATAAATTTTTTTTTAAAGTATCTGTATATTTTTGAGTACAAACAAAGTTGGTTAAGATACAAATACTTTCAAATAATATGTATCTTAGATACTGGATACAAGATACTTTCCAAAATTTTAAAAAGATACAAGATACAAAAGTAAAGTATCTTGTATCTTGTATCTTAGATACAAATATCCGCGATACTGCCCAACCCTGTTCATATTCACCAAATCAAACATCCTTTCTAACATTTGGTCTCCATTTTAAAAATATGCAAAATTATGGTAACTTTTGGAATTTTAGACTTTTAATTAATTGAATTCTAAAATGATGTAAAAATAATTATGATGTTGAAATAGGTATAAAATAAAAATTTATCAATTGATTGGCACAAAAAAATTTACAACAGTGATGTTGACCAATTATTAGAATAAAAATGCATAAAATATGGAAATTATTTAACAACTTTTTTCTGCATCGATATCGATGGCACGTCTGCGTGATTTTCATAAACGGCGACATTTTTAGAGTGCATAAATATCGGCGGTCGAATAATGGACGGCCGGCGCACAGGTAATTAAGCTAATAGCATAACCAACAAATAACTTACATTGCATTAGGTTTTGAACATAGCCAATTATATATAATAATACAAAGACTGACGATCAATTTATTTAAGGTGGCCAAGCACAAACAGCACCTATCAACACTACCTTTTCTGGCAGTCATAGATTAGGTCAGCATAATAACCCATTCATACATTTAAAAAAATTTTGTATTTTTTAAAAAATGGGAAAGATAAAAAAATCTAAACCAAAATCTAAGTCAACAAATATCAACCAAGGTAAATTATCTTTAAATTAATTTATTGATAATGTATGATTTTAGGTATATTTTTAAATAAACAAGTTGGGCAACATGTATTAAAAAATCCTCTAATTTTACAAACCATTGTTGATAAAGTAAACAAAATCGATATGAATTTTATTTTATATGCATATTCTTATATAACCATTATTTGTTTAAATATAGGCTGCATTGAAATCAACAGACATAGTTCTTGAAGTTGGTCCTGGAACTGGTAATTTAACAATTAAATTGCTTGAACAATGCAAAAAAGTATGGAATGAATTAAAATTTGAATTAAATTTTATAACAAGGTTGTTGCCTGTGAGCTTGATACACGACTTTCAGCAGAATTGATAAAGAGAGTTCAAGGAACGTAAGTTACTATTTCATTTAATCATTCATTGTTAATTATTTGTATTTATTTTTTTACTAAATATATTTCTTATTTTTTACTAATTTAGACCATATCAAAATAAACTTGAAATAATACATGGAAATGTATTGAAGATTGATCTTCCTTATTTTGATGTTTGTGTTGCTAATTTGCCTTATCAAATTTCATCCCCATTTATTTTCAAGCTTTTACTTCATCGTCCAATTTTCAAGTAAGTATATAATATATAAAATTATTCATAAGCATTTAAACTGCAACTTTTAATGCACAATAATACTCTGAAATATATCATTTATAGTTCTACATAGTTCAAAATTATATTTTTGGTCATACTTGACCTAGGCTACTGGAAAATTAAAGTTTGGTTTGATGTTGATGTGTTAAACATAAAATATATAATAGCTATTACAATAATTATAATTTTATTTATTACTTTATTTTTAATATAGTCAAAATTGATTAAAAAAAACATCACTGGCTATCATAAAACTAATGTCTAGCCTTTTGAAAAATGTTCAGGAGAGAAAATAATTATATTGCTATTTATTTAAATAAATTTTATAAATAAAAAAACATGCTTCTTAGTTTATTATGATACGAGCTATTAGTATATATATAAATTAGAGATGGATGCAGGCCATGAAAATACCAACAATGTGTCACAACATGAATGTGAATAAATTTTGAATGATGATTGGACATGACAGGCTTTTCCAGAAAATCACAAAATCACTAGGTGTGATTAGAATTTTTATGTAAATCATGGAAGAATTTGAAAAAAACTTGATCTCTTACCTTACACATTTTATAACAAGGTTTCTTATAGAAACTACTTTAGGAGACTTTATCCAAAATGGGATACTTATATTTCAATAATTTTTACAAATTTAAGGAAAAAATTGAATAAACTATTAGAATTTTTTAAAATTACTAAGAAATTTATATTATAGAGAAAAACTTATTTCATTATTTTTATTAATGTTTTCTTTTTTTAGAAAAAGCCAGTAAAATTTTGTCATCCCCAGCCAGTTTGGTTTTTAAAAAACGATTTTTTTCTTTAGCTAATAAGCCTTTACTAAGATGAACATAACTTAAATAAATATGTTGGCATTTTTCAATTAATATTGATGCTTTTAATTACTGCAAAAATGTATAAGACAATTTTATTTTACATAAAATTATGGTAATAAATAAGACAGAATAATATATTTAAAAATAATCTATGAATTTTTTGGGTATGACAGACATGATAAAATTTAAAAATATCTGACATAAGTCGGCATGAATTTTTTATTTCTAAGAGTGAGTAGATGGGCAATGAATAAAAAAAATTAGGCCCACATTTACCTAACCTTTATCAGCATGACCTATAATATTTTTAGTTTAGCTTGGCTAAAAAAAAATTTTTTTTTGTTATTTGCCCAGCCTAAACCAATTTATTTGGCCTAACTGCAATTATCTTTTGTGAAGGAAAAATCATTTCTTATTATTTATGATTTAAACAATTTCCCAGCTAGCCTAGCTCACAAGTATTTTACCCAGACCCCAAAGGCTGGGTCAAGCACATCTCTGGTGGAAGGAGTTAATTGATAAACCCACTTATACAAAAAAAAATGTAAACTATGAGAGCTTGCAGCATAGGTACTGACTTCATGAGAGAAGTGGGGCTCTCATACCTATTGAATTCTGCAAGATGATAATATTGACCTATTATTTTTGGTAACCAAAGAAATTTTTTATAAGTCACAACATCTTTGGCTTGCAATCCAGTCAATGATATGTAAATAAAATGTTAAAAATCATTTTTACACAAGTTTCAACTATTTTTTTAACTCAGACCCTAGTAATATGGCATATAATTTCATTAATCTTTTATTCGACGATTCTGGCCACTATAAGCCTGAAAGAATTATTCTAAATTTTATAATAAGCTTTGTAAATGATAAATATCAATACTTATTTATTTTATTTAAATCAAAATTGTTACTAAATTTTTTAGATACGCAGTATTAATGTTCCAAAAAGAATTTGCACAAAGATTAACCGCAAAACCAGGTGATAAATTATATTGTCGTCTTTCTGTCAACACTCAGATTTTGGCCAGGATTGATCACTTAATGAAAGTATAATAATAATTTGAAAATATATAAATAAATATAATTCTACCATGTAATTTAGCTTTTAGAACTTGGAAAAACAGAAAAATTAATAAATGTATTTTAATCTTAAAAATAATTATGAAAAGCCTAACTGTTTAAGTTAAAATACTGGCATTTTTTAAATCAGAGTTTGTACAATAATCATCGAAAAAAAGAGGTTTCTCAAATATTTTTTTTTATTATTAAAAAAACAAATATATTTTTGAGTGAATAAAAATTTTGAATATTGTTCTCAAAGATTTTTTTAAATTTAAAATGAATAATATTCAAATTATAATTTTTGCATAAATATTCTTTTTGTGATTTTTGGTATAAGAATCTAACTTTTAATTTTTTTTTTTATTTATCACTTATATGATAATTAAGAGTATTTTTTTTGAATTGTCTTGCCAACTAATTTATAATGAAACCTGAACCAACAAATCTGACCTCTCCAAAGACGAGAATGGCCGGGCCGTATTTTAATATTTTTATAATATGGCAGCCCAGAAACCAAATGTTTTAGATCGTCATTATTAGCTATTAAGAATTGAAATAATTTAAAAAATATTCGAGCTGGGTTTGAAAATATAAAACTCGGGACGGGCGGGCCGAAAAATTCTTTTTAAAAAACATCTGGGCTGGGCCCTTCAAATGGTACTTCTGCAGGTCTCTGTGTAGACTAAGGCTGAATTCATAGTGGGATCCAATCCGACTCAATTTAACAGCCGATCTATTTTTAAAATCTGTTTATGAGATCAATTTTTCTTTATTAGTATAAATTATATTTTTCAATTCTAGGTAAGATAATAATCTAAGAATTATTGATTTTAAAATAAAAATTGTTCTGAAAGATTTTTAAAATCTCTCAGCTGTTAAATGGGATCGGATCCCACTATGAATCCAGGTTGAGACCAATTTATTTTTTTAAATCGGATGGATTCATAGAACTATATTATAAAAAATTTTGTTCATTACCTTGGGTGGCGTGGATAGGGTCTGGTAGTTCCCCCAAAAGTCGGTTTGACACATCACCATTTCTTTTTGCACCGGGGTTACATGGTCAATCACATACCAAAAAAAGAAAATGTATAAGAAATCACTTTATACCAAAATATATTAATGTTTTAATTATGCCTTTTTTATAAAAAAAACTAGATAAAGGTGAAAAAAAATTATAATATATTATGAATATTGAGTATAAAATTTTAATTTTTAAAATTGTGATTAAATAAATAATATCATTATTTTCCTTATTTTGATATTTTTTAGTAGTAAAAAATATAAATTACTAATTAGCATTTCCATGAATACGGGTGTTTACCGTGACTCCGATCTTAAGGTTCCTGAGGATTTACTGACCCCTTCAGCCATTCCTCCAGTTATTGAAGACATTCTACCTAGTGATCTGCATCGGGCCTAATTTTTCAAGCTCGGCCTGACCCGAAATTTTTTTTTAAAAAATTTGCCGGCCCGGCCCGAACCCAAAATTTTTTTAAAAAGTTTTGCCAGCCCGGCCCGAACCCGAAATTATTTTAAAAAATTTACCGACTCGACCCGGCCCGAATTTATTTAAATATAGAAATTAATTTATAATTACTCAAAATAAAATACATATGTTATATGTCGTTTAGTTTCAATAAATAAAATCAAATATTTTTATTTTACATAAAAAATTCAATATAAAATTGATAAATTTAGATATATTTAAAAAAAATTTCCAAGGTCCGACCCGGCCTGAGCCCGATTATTTAAAATAGAATCGAGCGCCCGAAGCCCGATCGGGCCAGGTACGGGCCGGGCCTAACTTTGCAAATCTCTAATTCTACTATTAACGGATGTCCCTATACATCAAATGCTCCCCCCTGGGGACATTGACAAATATTAAAAAATATATGGTACCAGCCTTTGCACAATTATATTCACTGGTTCCCTTTGCAAACGTATGAGATATCGGGGAAGATATTCTATTTCTTACTTATTACTGACTAATGCTATTCGACAAAATAAAGAATAGATTTTCTGCGATTAACCATAGAAAATGCAAGTTTTTCGCAAAATGGGAATCATCATTACTATGACCGAGTTAGCCGATCTAGCTCGGTACAGGGCTATAATAACAAAAAAATGATATCATTTTAAAACGGTTATATACATAAATTATATATTTTTTATTTTTTTTAAAAAAAGGTTGGCAAGAACAATTTTAAACCTCCGCCTAAAGTGGAGAGCAGTGTTGTACGAATTCAACCCAAAAATCCAGCGCCGACGATTAACTTTCAGGTTACATTAACTATAATTTTTTTTAAAAATAAAAATATATTCTAAATATTTGATCAGGAATGGGACGGCTTACTCAGAATCGCTTTCAACCGGAAAAACAAAACTTTATCTGCCATATTTAAGTTCTAATATTTAAATTCTTCCATAATAAGTATTTAATAAAGCATGATTGACATTTTAATATTTTAAAAATATACATACATATATAGGCAGTCAGGCATACTCAGTCTCATCGAAAAGAATTATGGTGTCCATTGCTCGTTTAACAATATAGTAAATATGATGCTTAAAATAGATCAATTCTAATCTAAATATTTAAGTTATGTTAGTGTCGAATGCGTTTTTGTTTTCGGCGACGTAATTTTTTTTCTCCCTTCATCTTAGTTGAACCGGGGAATGTATTTCAGTAAATTATGTTTTTAAAAAAATCTACCATAAGGATTTCGGATCAATTTTTCCCATATAATTCTAAGATTCGCCCATGAAAAATAAATGTCCTAAAATTTTAGAGTAGGTTATTCTGCGCCATTGCTTAAATTAAGATTTTCCCAATTTGAAAAACAAGGTTTTTAAGACTGCAATCCTAATGAAGCATTTTTAAAAAAAAAATAATTTGGCAAAAGATAGTGAATACCTTTAAAAACGCTTAAATGTTTTCTCATTCCTATCTTTAGGCTAAAAATCATATTCTATTCAGCCGAGGGTTATTAAAAAGCCGATTATTGTTATATGCAACAGTAATTTAACGTAAGCCTCGAGATTTGGCAAATAGAGATCCAGACCTTTCTGCCATCGACGAAAAAGTCTCCAGTACTTACGTAATATTATTTTGGCCAAAATAAGTTGGTTTTTAAAAAGCGACCCAAATCGGACCTTTTTACAACTTTATTTCAAGACATATTTAAAAATTCTAAAATGAAAATGAACGAACTGGAATACAATACAGCCTTAAATATTAAAATTGAAGGAAAAAGAATTTTACTCATTGCCGGAGAAAAAAAAACATACGACGTTAACATAGTATTTATTATAATCCCTGCAATAATTTCCAATGTTTAAATCAGAGATCTACCGACCCAGATAGATGAGTCAAGTATTTTAATTTTTTTAAATATACCCGGGCCAATCCTAAATTTAAAAAAAAAAAAAATACCTGGGCCGGGCAGTATATTTTTAAAATCGTCCCATAATTAGCTATTAAAAATGTAATATATTTTTAATAAATTCGGGTCGGGCCGAAAATTTTTTTTAAAATAAAAATCCAGGCTAGTCCGGACCGTGCAAATGGTATCTCTGTGGGTCTCTGATTTAAATCGCATCATTTTGTAATATTTATATTTTTTTTACAAAATCTTTATATAGCCCGTACCTAAAGATTTTAACATGAAGGATTTTGTCATAAAATTGTTGGAGGATAATGACTTTGCTGCTTCACGAGCGAGAACGATGGAAATAAACGATTTTTTGGGGTGATTAAATCTTTATTAATATTATAAACATTTTTTATGGCTCCTGGAAATTTAAAAACCGGATTTCGGTTATTAGATTTGACTCGGGTTTGGTTCAGGTTCCAAACTCAGTTAATATACCAGATGAATAATATGGGGATCGGAATCCTGAAGATTTAGATCCAGGTAGAACCTTAAAAAATAGGATTATTTGGTTCTTACATTTTATCATTATTGCTTCTATGAACAAATAACTGGTTCAAAGTTAGCGGTTAATAAATTTGAATTCTCGCTTTCATTTTAATTTTTTTAGTAAATTATGATGAATCTAGTAGACTTTTTTAAACCAGAGTCTAGAATTACAGAACCGCCTATTCCTTATAATTTAAAATAAGGTAAGGTACTCTTCTAATGCTTACAAATGGAGCATTTGTTGCCGTACTTTTTTAATAAAAAGCCTTACACTACATTTATAGTTAACGCGTTATCTTCAAACATTGCGGTATTTAATGCAGCGTTATTACAGCTGATTCAGTTTTAATAACTAAACTAATTTGAGATAATGCTAAAATAGCGATAATTATTTAATATAATACTTAAGAAAAATCTTATACCTTTTTATCGAATTCGGCTATTAATTTTATAATCTTATTGCTTATTTTTTATCAATGTATCTCAGCATATATTTTTCAAATTTTAGAGCGTTATCATCATAACGCTCCATAGTTATAAATTTATACCAATGATCTTTTTATTTTAGAATTAGTATTACATCGATTCAAAATGTCGACTTAATTATAAATAGAATTGATTTTTGTAAATTGTATTATTGTTTGCATTTTTATTCCATTTAGAAATATTCCATTTTAAAAGATAGACTTTTTAAGGAAGAAATTTTTAGTGCGCCCTCCTCTTATTATTCTTAACTGGGTAACAGGGTTTTGTCGGCTTACGTAAAAGCTGGTGTCGTAGACAAACGTGAAAATGAATAAATGAAAAGGTAGTGAAAAAAACACCAGTTTACGTTTTTCAAGATGGTTTCTAACGCCAAACTGTAATTTTACCAAATTCCGCGATACTATTTGAATTGCATTTGCAAGGCAGTGTTTGAAAAGCACAATTTTTTTCGCACTAAGTAATCTATTTGACACATCTTTCTTTTAACCAATCTCTTGGACAAGTCTAGTAGACTATGATTTAAAGGTATCCATATATATGCGGTAGGATTAATATATGATTTTTTTTTAAAAATGGTGTAATATAAATCTGTTGTTGTTTATAATTGCTATATGCTATCCTACTAATGTAAAAGCCTGAAATGTTCCTGGAAAATTCATGCTTATTTTTGGAAACGAAATTTTAAATTTTCATCAAAATTCTCGAAAATATATAATTATGCATATTAGAAAGTGATAAATCGAGTATAAATACCGAATTCATTTTCTATTATTTTAAATCAATAAAAAAAAATTTTCTTGGCAAAAGTGACCAGAAATATATATCACTGCAAGTGAAAAAACGCAAGGAGTTTTGTCGTCAGAATATTCATTTCGTGCTGATCATCGTTTCAATGATTTTGAAGTAACCAATGATGAGATATCATCTGGTATAGCTGCAGTCAATGCCATAATTGCAGAATTCAATCTTAATATCGGAATTGTTTTAAAAGCCATATTCGCAGAATTTCGATCAGAGTAATTTTTTGGAAAACGTTGGAATAAAGGCATGTTCAACTTCTGATATGGTTGAAAGGCCTTTGTCTGCACCTCTTATAAGTATCGCTATAAGACTTATCGATTTCTTTTGTCATTTTTGGAAGAACCCATTCCAAAAATCGTAATAGATTTATTAATAAACGCGTGGAAAAGTTAATTTCCATAAAATTGCAATTTTATATTTACAACATAAAATTATTGACCCTATATGTAATCATCCAGTTTATTTAAACTCCTTATATTTTAAGAAAATTCAAATATATCATCAGCAGATAGTGATATCATTATAGAAGAAGAACATAAGTTCAACTCCCCATTTCCCTATAAATTAATTTCAAATATATATATCAGAGTCCTACAGGCCCGACCCGTGTCCATATATTTTAAAACCAAATATTAAATCGCCATTATTAGCTATAAAAATTAAAAATAAATATAATATATTTTTAAAAAATTCAGGTCAGGCCATACAAATGACTGCAGGTCTCTGATATATATATTTTTCAATCACTATAATTTCAAGAATTAAATAAAATGTTATGCATCGAAAATTAATATATTTCAGTTTAAGATTTCCTTTTTGGTTTTTACTCTATTTACTGTATCTAATTCATAGGAGAACACAATTTTTACATCACTTGAGAGGCTTAAATCCTATATTATACTAAATGTAGTATGATTCATAATTTGCCAATTTTTTTTAATTTTTAGTCAATTTGGGACATTTTTACAAAAGTTCCTCAAAATGCCCCTAAATTCCTGGGGTGGGAATATCGATGTTAAAATTTCTGGAATTTTACATTGGTATGTTATCCCCATTAGATGTCAACTTATGACTTGATTTGCCAGGTGACTTTTTAAATCTGACATATTTTATATATTTAATGATCGTTTCATTTTTTTCCATACCTTATACTGCACTCACAGTTAGCACGAATTCATGGCGAAGTATACAAAATATGCTGTATTTTTATATTCTTCGGCGCAAATTCTCACTAACTTAAGGGTTTTTTTCCAAAAATTTCGAAACTTTTAAAAAAAATACACTACTAGATTACTCTTTTTTTTAGCTCAAGTACTTGTGCTTCATTACATCTGTTCCAAACTAAATCGTTCATTTATAATTTTTATTCGGTATCTCATTTTAGACTTCTACAGCTGTTCAATAACAATGGTATACATTTTGGCTGAGCATGGTGAAGAAATATAGATGGGGACATTTATACTTTTTATTATATATAAAATGATCAATAGAACGAATATGTCGCGATATGATAATATTATATATTGCTTGGTTATGAATAAAATATTGTTAAAACATACCTAGTTATAAAAAAAATATTTGTACTCAATATTTGTTTTTTTTTACCTCTAATTTATTAACTAATTGTATATTATATATTAAAACAAAAATATATTAAGTTATAAACAAAATGCAATACAATTCAATTACAGTATCTAAAATTACAATTTCATAAAGTATCAATGAATAAAATATATTTTCGTAATGCGAAAGTATTATTCATATATTATTCTTTTAATAAAAAAAAACCTTATTTATACATTATTTGCTTAATTATTTAAAGATATTATTGTACAGCATTTGCGCGATCCCTTTTAGAAACAAATCATTTATATCTTTTTCTTTGACAATTCGTTTATGCGCATTCCCGATAGCTTACTCTTTGTTATTATGGTTAGCTTTTAGGTTAGTTTTTTCGTTTGTCTTTAGGTCTTTTATAGCGATCTTAACTCTCTCATGTCCGTCCATGTTGTAATTGCGATGTTGAGACATGGTTTTATTCCAAAGTCGGGGGAAAGTGAAGTGCCCATGTTCCGCGTAAGCGAATATTTGTTTAAGGGGCTCTGGCGCACCATTAGCGGCCCATTCCAGCGTCCGAACCGGATCATATAAGTTGTACAGATCGTTGACTTCCATGTGAGTTACCTTCAATCTCGCGGGTAGTATTCCCGTGACGTAAACGTCATCTATCCAAAAGTATCGGTCACCCAGGGAAGAAGCCCATAACCTCAAAGCTAATCTGGGGGTCGTAATGTAAGCTCGGCCCGAACAATACGGTGGGTAAGTATCGGAAGCGTATTCTGAGGAAGAGACAAGCCATTTAGCGTTGGCGTGAGTTTCGTCCGAAACTGCCGGACTAGACGGAAACAAGTAACACATGAGGAGATCGGGGGGTGGGGAGACTAATTGAGACGGACTACTGGAAACGATTTGGCTTGTAGTGTTTTTTTTTATAAAGCGGAAGAAAAAAATTAGATAAATTCAGGGGAACCCGAATTTTCTTTCAAATGTTTTTAAGTATTTCGCCGAAATTTCGAAGACATAAATTTAATCGAGTCCGATTTTCTGAATAAACACAACCTCCCATGATTTAAAATACGCTGGGTTCGATTGGTGTTCATAACTTGATCACTGGTAAGTCCATGTTTCGTTCCAGTTATATTAATTTTTTCCTTTTAAATTAAAAAACAAACGTATCAAATTTGGGCGACATTTTTGTCCCCAAAGTGAGCCTTGTCTAATTTGATCAAAATCTTTGAGGGCTCAAATTAGAAAAGTCTCAAAAAAACACAAGTTAAAAAGATATAAAAATTATCAAGTTTTTTTCATCAAATTTATAAACTCACGCGAACCTATCAGAACTCGGCCCGGGAAATTCATCTTCTAGGAATGCCACTAGTTGAAACATATCCACGAACATGTCGTCATCAGCCTTTAAAATGTAGAGGGCTTGTGGGCATCGCTCGGCTGCCCAGCGTTTACCCATCAAGTTTTTGTAAGTAAGATTACGATAGGCGTCGATAAAATTTCCTTGAATTATGTCTCCGTAAATTGAATTTTCGCGTTCTATCTCCAACTGAATTGGTCCGGAAGTCGTCTTTTTAAATATTATAAAATATGGTATTTGATTTTATAAGGGTAACGATATGTAGCATCAAGCGTTATTAATTTTTTTAATATGTTTTTGTAAAAAAGTTTTTTTTTTGGTGGCATTTGTGGCTCAGACGTTAGAGACCTTAATTGAGAAAGCACTACTAGCTTTGTCTTGGGTTCCAAATCTAGGTTGGACTAGTTTTTTTTAGAGTTAACCAAGGTTATATGCTTCTATGAATGTATGGTATATAGTAGATATAACCCAAAGCATGATAAATTAAGCGTCTATCCATTAATGCATATTTTAAAAATAGTATTGTATAAATTTGGGCGTTGAAATTGGTATACATTGATGGACGTCATATATTATCTTATTTTGTACGTAAGCCACGTTCCTAGCAAGCAATTGAGGAGGCACGATTTTATTCGCCAAAGTAAAAAAAAGGTATAGGAAGTGATAAAGCAATAATATTTCGTGAATTAACTTAATTTATCGCTCTAAAAAAATTTAACACTAATTGAAAATTTCCCAATTTTAACCGCTCGCGTAGACGTCGTATAATATATAGGAGTTTATTGTGGAAAGCTTCATTACATTTCTCTGATCTTTTTTAACTATTAGGTTAAAAAAAAATTTCAAGTGTAAAAAGATTTTTTTACCGAGTTAAATGGAATTTCTATGATGGCAGCCAATAAAAATGTCAATTTTATCGATATGTGTTTGAATATATTCGTAGATGCCCAAGTAGTCCTTATAGCCATTCGTTCTTCAAAATTTTTTGGAGCCGTGTGTATCATTATGAGCATATAGACATCCTTGGTGCCGCATATGTCATTGTCTATTAGGTATTCAAAGTTGGTCAGATCTATGAGAAATGGTATAGTCCTCTGCTTCTCCGAATTGCTGAAATACCTATTTCCAACCATTTCTATGGTCCGCTTCATGATTCTCCAATCTTCTACGTTTTTTTCCATGACCGAGTTGTCGATGTTATTCGTTTCCCCATCTGACCTGAATCCGCTAAAACTGCTGTAAGTTCCGGTACACAATAAATTGGTATAATAATAGTAAGAAAAGTGATTTTGATCATTGGGCGAGTCGTAATTGTTGTTAATATTGATGTTTTGGCATTGATTGACTTGTAGGAGAGAAATCAACACCATAAGGATCAGGATGTATAACAATAAGGCAAATAGGACCATATTTTTGAATCTCGATTTTTTTCTCACCAAAGAGTCACTGCAAAGGTATCAAAAAAAGTGAAGATGAAATTTTATTAATTAATTTTGCAGAAAGTTGGTAAATATTTATAATCATGGTGTATTTGTCTTAACTTTTTCCTTGCCAAAACTAGGCGTTTACGAAGTAGGCATTCAAAGGGGTAGGATAAAACACAAATAAACATTATTTGTAGATTAAAGATTAAAAAAATTTTTTTAAAATTTATAAATAGATATAAAAAATTTATTTAATGATTGAATTTTATACACTCCCGTGACTTATTTAAAAAATAAGGTTAGTAATAACTAGTTGATTATCACCAATAAATGTTTATTTGTTTATCATAGCCTAGATCATGAGGCCGGAAAGAGTTTTTAATAGAATTTTATTGGAAGGTAGAAATTGGTGGTTTACTATAATATTTTTTTAAAATTAATATCATGCGTTTAACTTTATTTTTTATAATTAAATATTTGAAAGGAAAACCTTATTATTTTTTTTAAAGAAAAGAAGAGTTTTTGCTAAAATATCTTATTACTATTTTTTATAAATATTATATATATAACTCATTTAAATTCGAGATCTGTAATAAGTCATTTTGTCAATTGTCAAAGAATTGCAAGTTCCTAGGCCAGATTCAGGCCCATAACATCAAATTTTCCTGTTTTCGTTAGTATCATTTTAAGTTAAAAATTCCCCCACCCCCCTCTTCCCAAAAAATGTAAACAATATATCATTATAAGAAAGCATTTGAAAGAAAAATTAATAACTTTTTAAAACAACGACTTAAAATTCAAAATTTATTAGAAAAATAGCATTTAAGCAAAAAATAGTAAAACCCCAAAATTATTTTTATATAAATCTACTAGAGCCAAAGGTTTACAATAAGCGGACTTAAAGATCTCTAACAAAATTGATGGGAAAAAAATTTTATCTATAAGTTCTCCCCCCTCCTCCACTCTTATAGCAAAATCCTGGATATGCCAGCTGCCATATTAAATTAATCTCCTTTCAAAAAAAAATTTCGCTCTGAGAACTTCTTTAATAATGGTTATAGTGACTACCCCAATTATTTTGTTTTCCTAAATATTACTCCATACAATTCTGGGTCCCCCTAAATATACAGGGTTTCACATCCAAAAAAAAGAAGAAAGACTCAATCAAAAAAGAAAAAGTGCAGTCAGATCAAAAAAGAAGAGGTCTGCAAATATATTAAAGGTTCGTTAAAAAGAGAAAAGGTACCAACGACTTAGGATAAGGTCAGATCAAAAGAGGGAAAATGTCAAAGATGCTAGAGTATAAAGGGAGGGGATGCCAGAAAAATAATTTATAATGATATACCCTCTTTTAAAAAATTTTAAGCAATTTAAAAATCAAATTCCAAGTCTTATATTACTGATAAGATTCAGCAGATAGAAACTTTTCAAAAAAAAGGAAAAGGTCCGATCAAAAAAGGAAAAGTGCTAATCATAAAAGGAAAAAAGTCGGATCAAAGAAGGAAAAGTGTCAATAAAAAAAGGAAAAGTGCCAATCATAAAAGGAAAAGGTCAGATCAAAAAAGGGATAGTGTCAATAAAAATAAAGAGATGGTATGATCAAAAACGGAAAGGTACGAGGAAAGGAAATACAAAAAAATGGATAATGTTATTTTTTTAAATATATTATTTTGAAATAATGAGAAATTTTTTTTGTTGTCGATATATTAATTCTTAAATATTATTTTTCTTAATTTTTGGTTATTTTTAATTTTGTTACTTATTTTATATCTAACTTTTTGCGATCTATTTTACTTCTTTTCTTTTATTCTCTATTTTTTTTGTTATTTTTAACGATTATATTTCAATATTGTATAGATTCTTTATACACACAGTAATATATTTCCTGTCAAATCAAATTTTTTAAAATTTAAAAATAGCTCTCAGTGAAAATAGAGAGATTTAGATTCACAATGGTTTCCTTATCCATATACGACATATATAATCAAAATTATTAAAATTATGTCGAATTCCTTCTGATTCAGATTGTCAAATCTTGATCTAGAGCGAATATAAAAGCTATTACTTAGATACATTAAATACTGTAAACTAGATAAGGTAATTTAGAAGATAACCTATTAATCAAAATATAATTCTTATAAAAGAGGGGAAAAAAAGGAATAATATAAAAAGATAAATAGAGAAAACTTGTGCGAATATTTGATTTAAAACACTAATTACCTACCGTCCATTATGTATTCATCTTAAATTTTCGTTTTTATTTTTTAAATGATTGATGAAACGCTAGCATAGTTCAATTATTTATTCTGCAAATTAGGAGTAAATGAAGCCGAGCACGTTATTTACTTTAATTATGCATTTATAAAATCTATTTTATCAAGTCAAGCCCTTTATTTGATATCTAAAAAATCAAATCTTAATAGAACCTTCTTCAAATGGCATATATTCTGACAAAACGAATCAGTTACGACATCTCTTAATCATTGAAAAAGATTCAAGAAGGGTATTTTAATTAATAGATTAAATCAAACAATTTAATTAATAGATCACTATACATGCTTATAGTACTATAAATTTGTTATTCATTGAAGTTGGCATGAATTTGAATAAACTTGGGTTCGGTCTGCTTAGACAAATTAAGTATATATATATACTAGATTAGCAATTATTATTTAAAGGTGCCCATATTTATAAATCAGCTCTAATGACATTTTCTGGTTTCAAGGCAATTAATTGACATTAACGTGCATTTGACATTTCGAAGTGTAAACAACTGACTTCAAAGTTTGGACACTTCCACTTAACAAATCGCTTTTTTAAAATCGGGCCGTTTAAGAACACTAGAACCATGAGACAGCCTATCATCTTCGTTTTGTTACAAAAAAATATCCCCTTTGCAGAATTGCAATTCTAATATTTATTTTATTTTTTTTCATTAAAAGACAAATTGGTCGGGCCAACAACCTATTACCTCCCTTGCAAATGTAATACAGAAATTTAAAAAAATGAAATTTTATGATTGTATTATAATTTTGCGACTTTTATAAATCAAATCATACGTTTTTTTTATTATAGCATTTTTTTAAAAAAAATATAATAATTAATGACATTATCAAACTTTATTAATTATCGAAGGATTTTTATAGATTTCTTGGAAAGGTTCAATATCTTTTAATAGATTATCATCATTAAGGGGGTTAATACATTTTACCTAATTAACAAAAATGTATCTACGATTTAATTTACAAATATGCGCTTATAGTGCGCACAAATTGAGCGTTTCAAATGTTGCGGTGCAAGCTCAAATAATGCATTTCAAAGGGCCTCGGTGCAAATTGGTAAAATTACCGTTTGGCGTTAGCAACCATTTAAAAAAGTTTGCTTTTTCATTACTCCCTTTATTCTTCGCTTTGTAATATCATATAAAATGTATAATATAAATAACTTACTTATATCCTAAAAATGAATATTTAGAAAATTAAAAAAAAATAAGAAGGCAGACGATAATATAATTTTCAAATTTTTTTTTTTAAAAAAAGCTTATTTAAAATTTTGAATCGACGATAAAAAGGCAACCTCAATATAAACAAGGGATGCGTTACGTTTTTTTTTATTAAAAAATTACGGTAAAACATAAACGCTCAATTTGTGTGTAGTACAAATAAAATTTATAAAACTGTGTCCTGTCTCAACTCTTTTTTCTTTCGAATTCTAAATATATGTCCAAATAGAAAGTGATTTTTTTAGATTTCAAAAAAAATAAATTAGAGTAAGCAATAAATCCATTGGGATTTAGGAATTTTTCAATTTCAAAACATTTACTTAGGGGGCGAAACGAATTTTGAAATTCTAAAAATCTGGTTATATTTTAAAACGTTTAACCTAATATTTTAGCCCAAAATTATTACGCAAAACATGGAGATTTTGCCAGATAACAGCAAGGTTTGGACATTTATTAACCAAATATCGAGGCCTGCTCAATATTTTTGGCTAAATTATTGGGTTAGCCGTTTCTAAAAATTGAGCCGTTTAACAAATGCTAGTAATGTAAAAAAAAGGATAATGTTATGTTATGCTTAAAAAAATAAGAAGTATTATAACTATTTAAAATAGCATATATACTCTGCGGAAAATTGTTAATCCAGACTATTAGTATGGAACAATATTCAGGATTCGAACAAAAAATCTACCTCAGTTCTACCTAGTGTCGCCAAAATCTTCAGTCTTGCGTATTATTTTTTTCTGGATATAAATTCGAGTTAGTCGTTTTTAAAAATTGGCTCTAGTTCTACCCTATAAATAATAAGCAATAATAGCTTACAATACTATACTAAGGAGAATAAAAATTACTAGTTATGGGGAGGGGGATTTAATCTGAACCAAAAAAATAGAAATCTAATTGTTGTAAAATTCATCGATTGTGCGTTAACTATGAATATTATTTAGTTAATCATTCAATGATTGTGGTTATAGTAGGTAATAATCTGTACTGGGCATGATTTTCTAAGCCCGGTCCGGCTCTAAATTTTTTTATAAATTTGTACAGGCTGGCTCGATCTGAATAAAAATTTTTTCCGAAAAATCGGGCCCAAATAATAATATTGACATTTTTACAGTGGACATTCTACAAACAAAATAAAGAAAAATATTAGCGCCTTGTTTCTTGCAAAATTTTTCAAATAATTTGATTATTTACTTCTATTTCAAAATTTAAGCCCTACCCTACTCTGCCCAAACCTTTCATAAAATATATTGGGCCCAACCCAACTCGAACCATTTAGGCCCGGTCTTGGGTTTAAGCCCTTTCAGGGTGGGTCTGGCCTACTTTTGTAGATATTTTAATGGTAGGTAATTATTGAAAAGCGAGCAGTTTTTAAAAAATATGAATTATTCTAATTATAAATAAAGTTAAGAGTTATTTTCGCATTCAGTGCTGTTCGACTCGACTACTTGTGAAAAATATTTATACGAGTCGGAATTTCATTATCTATTTTTAAAAAAAGCTTATATAAAATTAGAAAAATCTATAACTTTTTTCCTTTAAAAAAATAATATAATGCTAACTAGACTATACCGGAAAACTCTTATAAAAAAAATTTTACGGGTCTGGCCATATAACCTAGTCAGAAAATTGGGCAGTTTGGGCCGGGCCTTATCGATTTCCAATTCAGATATTTATATGATCTAAAAAAATGTTAAAATTATTTACCCGATACGGTTTTCCGTAGAATACATGACAGTGTGCATATATTTATTTTTTCCAGATCCGTTATATAATTTTTATTTGGAATTTTTTTTTAAATATATTTAGATTTTTATTTTTACTATTTTTTAAAAATTATTGCTTCAAAAGTTATTAGATAATTTAAAAAAAATTTTTTGTTGCGAAAATATTATTTTTGGAAGAGGTGTGAAAAGGGAACTGGATATTCCTTTTAGATTTTCTCTTCGGCTTGTTTTTCTTCTACTTTTTTCTTACGTTTCCATTGGGGTACAAAGTGACAGACTTCGTGATCTCTTTTGCTTTCCCAGTTTTTTTTGCCTAATAGCCAATGTAATTGCATCTCATTTTTTCCCTTTATTATATACATTATTAATAAATAAAGCGAAATATTAATATTTATGCATATTAATTATACTTGTGATAATAAATTTAAATACCGATGGGGTTCAATGGTATCGAAAGCTAATGATCTTCTTAAATTTACTGAAAAAATATGTAATCATCAATATTATAACACCTTATGGCAAAAATTACCAAGTTTAAGTCTTTCATTTAAAAAAAATCGAATTTTAAATATTTTGATTATTATTATAAAATTCTGACTAAAAGTCTTGAAAAGGCCTATCCAACTCGATAACCCGGGTTGTGACTGATGGGGCCTGTTTGAGTAGAAACATGGGTTCTCTAGTTCTAATTCCATCTTGCATCAAGATAAAAAGGTAATTCAAGGCCAAAATTCGGACTGCTCAGGAATTTTAAGACCTTTGTTTATCGGTTGAAAATTTTTGATAAATAATTCTTATTAAAAATAAGTTATCTTATTTTTTATTGTTTCTATATTTTTAAATATGAATGAACAATAACGCATTCATGAATTTGAACACTTGTTCCTTTTTTTCTTTGCAAATTTTAAATGCTAGTCTAATATCATTTTATCAATAAAAGTGTGACACGAACGTAAATGAATTTGTTTTTTTTTCTATTGAAAAAATTTACAGCACTAAGATCAAGCCTTATTCCGAATAAAATCAAGAGAATTCAATTATCTTAACAACAACATTATACATTTTAGTAGATATCTTATGTCAACTATAAATTTTATCGTCTTAATGAAACATTTAGGCAAATTAATTCTTTCTTTATTTAATGTAATGTACGGAACTCAAAGACTTAACTGGTCCCTCGGTTCTTTACTTCCAATTGCCCCAGATTAGGCTTGATCTAAGACTAAGAAATAGTGTAGGCGCCTCTACCAAAATTGGAGTTGGGACCATATAATAATAAATAATACGTAATTATGCCAGGCTTTGCCAAAATATTTTTTATGAATGCGGAACAAATCTAGAAGTAGAAGCCATAACCTGGAACCCCTATTTCAAGATTCTGAGGGCCCGAAACCGGTTCTTGCAAAAGCATAACTAATTATATTTTTTCAAAATGTTTGTGCGATATATTTTAACGGAACCCAGAACTGGGAAACTTTGGAAGGGAATCAAACTTTGGAACAGAATTAAGCCACAACTTGAACTTTGTATAAACCGGAAATCGGAAACACATTTTTTTAAGGAAAAGAAAATTTAAAACCAGAAGTATAACTCTCTTTAGTCTAGTTTCCAAAACTCGAATTATAATAGGAATAAATAGTTTTCACTAATTAAAAAAAAATATTCCTTAGAACTTTCCCCAGTTGGGAAACCTATTATTATTTAATAGTTTTTTCTAACAACAAAAAAAAGAATTTTTTTGTAATGTTTTACTTTTAAAATGAATTCAGCAAACAATAAATATAATTATCATTTAAATAGGATTTTAATGGATTCGGCAATTTAGCGAAAAACGAGACGTTTAAAAATTTCTTCTTTTTTTTCAAAAATAAAAAAATCAAACAATATTTCTATTTTTTTATTTTAAAGTAAATAGATGAGATAATAAAGCATTTTATATAATTTCATTAAGCCCCATCAGCAATTTGGATTAATTGAGTTTTAAAAAATATATAGTTATTTTAGAATAAAAAATTTCTATATAAAGGTATGTATATTATATTAGTAATATATAAAAATATAACAATTTATTCTTCAATCCAGAATTAATGTACGATTGTTGTTGCAAATAGTAAATGTTTTAAAGTGCATTTAGGCTCAATTTTAAACTTTTATTTTTTATTTTACAAATATCAATGCGATTATTATAGTATTTTTCTCTTTATTTTTTAAAAAAAATATTGTTTCAACAAAACATGCTTTCAAATTTTTTTAAATAATAAATGAATTATTCTTACTTTTAATAATGAAGTTCTAAAATATTTGTCCAAAAATTTCCCAAAAATTTATGTTTTTACTCATCATAAATATATTTTATTGAAATATAAGATAAAATAAAAATATTTTTAATTATAATTTTAAATTTAATTTTTATTTTTATTTTTATTATATAAATAAAACTTATTATTTTTTTTATCTAATTAATAAAATATGAAATTGAATTAAATGTTGATAACACTATAAAATAAATTATCCATGTAATTATAATTGCTGTATTATGCAAGATAAAGACTAGTATAAAACATATATATATTTTCAACCTGTAATATTTTAATTTTTAATCTTCCTCGTCTTATATATAAATCATCCATTATTATTAAATGTTACACTTACAATTATTATTAACGATAGCGCACACAAGAAAAAAAATGTTATGATTGAGGAGGTTATTAAATTTTAATTAAAATATATAAAGGTTTACACAAATAAATAATTTTAATCGAGTTTAAGAAGATAAAATTAATTGAGGGAAAAATTATGATAAACTCTTAATCTGATCTGATCTCAATATGTTATATTTTTGTATGTAATCAAAGGTGGAAAAGACTATAAAGAAGAGTTCTGATACAGGGAAGGCGACAATAAATATTATATAAAACAAAAGATTATAATATTTTTTGATTACATAAAAAAAGTATTTTCTTTTCATTATTTTTTTTCTCTCTCTCTTTATTTATATTAATTGTAAAAATAACTCTTGAATACAAAAATTCCCTAGGATAATTAATCATTAAAAAAATTTGAAAAGTATATAATATTTAGGCAAATTTTTTTTTAGTGTAGTATATATTATTAGCGGCAATTTGTTATTTTTTTTTTAAACAATCATTTATTTGGGCACTTTTAAAAAAAATTTTAAAAATTTGAATTTAGCAACACACATCTACCCTATGAATTTCAGACAATTATTTACATGAACATTTAAACTTAATATAATTAAATTTCCATTTTTCCATAGATTTTTTTAATATATATTTAAAATACTCAAAGTAAGAGGGAAAAATTGTCTACAACTCATAAGATGCTCTAAACATGTTGGAATTTGTTCCCGCCATAATTAAATTTTTAATTTTTCAAATTTAAAAGAAAGCGACCAAAAAATGATTTAAAGTTGAAAAAAAATAACACCTTAGAGGAAAAAACACATTGACGCTTAACATATATAATATATTTATTTTTTAAAATTTTCCCGGATTCTGCTTAAAAAAAAGTAAACAAATTTAGTTTTAATATTTATTTGATTGATGGGAACGATGAAACAAAATTCCAGATAAGGATTTTTTCTGGAACCATGAAATTGTGGGCCAAGCACGTTGGTTTTAATGCGTCACCTAAAGATAAATTAGGTGCCTCGGGCAATATAAATACCCCCACCCCATTTTAAAATTGTTTTATTGGTTAAAAAAATTAATTTTTTAAAATAAATATAAACTAGTATTTCTAATTTACTTCACCCCCCCTCCTGTTTTTAACTTTTTTTTTTGGCTCCTGCCCGCTAAATGTTAAATTTTCTTAGCTAGCTCCCATCCAAATGGGCGTTTGCGGGGGTTAGACTTATAGCGTAAGTATTAGAGCACTGCATGGATCTAGTCAAGCCTTATTTTGATTTCATTTTTTTTTATTTGGGTCGGCTTTTTTTTCACAATTTTTTTTTAAATATTATCTTCAGGAAAATTCATCTTTGGTGCTTTTCAATTTTTTTTATCGCTTTCTTTTGGAAAAAAAAAATTGAAGAAACTTTTTTTCCCCTCTATCCAATATTTTTTCTTAAAAAATATTTTTCCAGATCGGATTCGAAAAATTATTATAAGTCGGATTTAAGGATCTTCTAGAAATTCAGTCAGAACCACCGGATAAAAATAAAACCTAGTACCCTTATCTAGATGAACCTTAGTGCCCCTAATCCAAAATTTTGGCCAAAAAATATTACGCAAGCCTGAAGATTTTACTCATAGATGACAGAAAAGTTTAAATATCTGTTGACGAAATCTTCGATATTATTTTAAATAAAATCTTGATTCAACCGCGAGATCTAGCCATTTAAGCAAGGACTACCTTTTTTTACCCTGCATTCACACTGAGCGGCGAATTCATGGCAAAATATAATAATTGTATACATTCATTTTTGTAATACTTCATCACGAACTCGCGCTAACTGTGAAAGCAGGGTAATACATTATTCTTTATATATTTTCTCAATGGACGGGACCTTTAAAAATGTTAACATATAACACCTGTTTTAGAATATTCAGAAGAAAAAAATTATGCTTGATTTATATTATAAAATTTTATTTTTGTTTTCTTTTTAGTTTCTCTCTCCCAGGATGAAATCAATGACTTATAATAATATAATACTACCCATAATTGACGATTTAAGTGTGCACCAATACAAATCAGCTGATGGCAAACCATTTTGTTTTGACCAGCTGATTCGCTTGTATATTTAACGTCGCTTGAAAAGAACCTATCAATGAATCAAGCAATCAGTTCTAGGTAAGTGTTATATAATGAATGGATTAGAAATCTAATTTTTACCCAATATCCCTAAATTTTATTATTAAATATAATCTCTTGATAATGAAGGACAAATAATTTTTTTTTTTTTAAATGGAAGAAGAGTTACTCGTTTAAATAATGGAATTTATGAGAATTTACTTTTATGAGCACTTTCCCCCGCTTTTCGCATATGTATCCATTATCTCTTTCCATCAATAAATCGTAGGTATAGGAACTGAGCTGTATCTTTGAAGCTTTTTTTGGGAGGCAAATTTTAACAAAAAACATGATGATATATTGTTTAGTTTAGCGTTGTAAAAAGCAACTGGTATACAGAGCCGTTTTAAAAGCTTTGACACCCTCCCATCCTCTGGGGCAATAATGAGTCCGTTAAAAAAATATCCCAATTTACCTAAATTTTAAGAAGCGGAAATTTAAATTTTCTAAAAAAAATAAATAGGGAATCCACTAACAACAAAAAAAAGGCAGGAAAATTAAAAATTTATCGAAAATAAGGGAAATCAAAATTTTAATTTTTAACCATACGAAATAAATAAAAATAATTATCATATAGGAAATTAAAAAGGCTTATAATAATATTTTTTATAATTCTAAATTAGATGATTTATGATAGGTATATATTTTGCTCTGAAGGATTAATAACAGTATCTGAGAAGTTATGGTTCTCAGTGAGAACTATAACTTAAAAAATCTTGAATATAAGAATTATGGATTCCGGTAAAAAGACAAGCGCTTAAAAGCAAAATCTTATAAGTGAAATATACTTATATATGGATGCAAGTATAATACAATTTAGGTGCTCCTACAAGTGGAGAGAGAAGAGAGTTATAAAATGCAAATGCTTTATTATAATATGAAATAACTCTCTCTTAAGAAAAATAGAATATTAATTAATTTGTTTTAATAGCATAATAATTATAGGAAAAAAAATAATAATTAATTTTGAAATTTTAACAGGCAGAATTGGGGTATTTATTTGAATGTATTAAGTTTGTCAAAGTATTTGTTCAATAAAACGAATTTTAAAATTTTATATTGAGTGTACTTAATTAAGGGAAGGGAGGTTAAATTTTTTTAAAAATGTTTACTTTTTCCAGGATGGTATATTTTTAAAGGTTATTCAGAGGCACTTACAGTGTTTTGCAGATTTAATTCAAAACTGTTATATTGCTTGTTTTTATTTCAATTTTTTATATTTAAATAACTACTCTGTAATTTGAATATTTAAACAGGAATTATGTTATTAAATAATTAATTTCTTTTTGAATATTGTGTTAATAGAGTTTTCGACTATAATTTAATATTTAGATATATTTGAATATTTAAGTTGTTATATATTATTATATCATGAACTTTGATTCACTTTTAATTTTTTTTTGAATATGCAGCAACGATTATAAAATAAAACAGTTTTTGTTTAAATAATAATATGTATAAATAATAAGAAAACAACTATTACAATTAATTAATTTAACAACAATTCTTCCGACTTTATTCAAAGGGATTTCTGAAATTTACACCAAAAATTATTCCCAAAAAAGTGTTTTATTTTATAATCGTTGCGTAAAATAAAATTATATATATTTTTTAATATTCAAAAAAAAATTAAAAGTGAATCAAAGTTCATGATATAATAATATATTCAAACAACTTAAATATTCAAATATATCAAATATTAAATTATAATAGTGGAAAACTTTATTAACACAATATTCAAAAAGAAGCTAATTATTTAACAACATAATTCCTGTTCAAATATTCAAATTATAGAGTGGTTATATATAAAAAATTGAAATAAATATAAGCAAATATACCATCACCCCCCTTAAAAATTAACTTCCTACATTTTTGGTGTAAATTTCAGAAACCCCTTTGAATAAAGTCGTAAGAATTGTTGTTGAATTAATTAATTGTAATAATTTTTTTTCTTATGATTTATACAAATATTCAAAGTTTCATTTTTATGTAATTTCCCTTGGAACTTTTATTTAGTCTCCCTTACACCACTCAATAAATATATTACGATAACTAAGATCGGAACAAAAACATTTCCATATTTTTTTTAATTAGTTTGTAAAAAAATTATTTAACTCGTAAAATAAGAATATATAACTATGTTTATACAATTTTTTGCAAGTTCAAATAATATTATTTTCAAATGAATTAAAATTATGGAAATGTTTTCCATCAAATCTAGTCAACATTGGATATAACTTAGATTTCTCTTAAATTGATAAGAATATAATATATTTATTTTATAACAATTTTTTTGCGAGTTAAATAATTTTATTTTCAAATATATTTTAAAAAAATATATGGAAATGTCTTCCACCAAATCTGGTCAACATTGTATATAACTTAGATTATTGACTTATAAAGATATGAAATAAAATTTTCATTTTAAGTTAATTAAAAACTAAAAATTATTTGGTTTTATTTTTATCATAAAAATAAAAAATAATATCCATAAAAAAATATATCTGTGAAAAAAATATATGTATTTTTAAATTATGAATATTAATTTTTTTTTAAATAAGATTTTAAAAGAGATTATATTAATTTTTTTTTAATGAGTACTGACTAGGAAAAGAAATGATATTTATAACGGTATAGAGGTCGTAGGTTAAGAAAAATTTATGTTCAAGCTTCAAAATGGCCTAAAATTTTATTAGCGTTATTAATCGCCGAATGAAGATTACCAATAAATCTAAACACAAAGGGAAGGAAAGGGGAGGGAAAGAAAGAAAGACATTTGCTTTGTTTTAAAAATATAAAGAATGTAATAATCATATCATACCTCCTATCCTGATGCTTATGTAAGCTTTTATAATAGCATCTAAAATACTTTCGATTTTTACATTACTTAAGATTATATGAGAAAAATTTTGAATCTCTTAGAAACAATTAAAGTTATATCACCAACAAAAGAAAAGGGATCTAATATTATAATTGATTTGATAAGACCAATGAAATATTATTTGCTCGATGGAAGGAGAGTTCAATAGTGAATTGTTGGGTCAACATTAATAAAATTGGAATGGGGGTAAGGAGGAAATAGTTTTAATTTGGATATTTGCTGATTTTGATTTCCTCTTTTTCTTTAATTTTGATCTGAGGAGATAAGAAGAGGATAGGTTGTAAGCATACGCGTACGCAAGAATTTGGGTCTGGGGGGGGGATAATAAATTTTTTTCAAGAAATATTATTGTTTTTTAAAAATATCAAGCATAAATTTATTAGGACTAATAACTATTTCTAATACACAATTTTAAAAATGTAAATTATAAAAAAATTATATGTAAAGAATCACTTAAATGACCCAAAATAAAAATTTGAATTTTTTGAGCTTTAAAATTTATATATAAAGTATAAAAAATTTAAATGTTATAAATATAAATTAATACACAAAAAGCTTAGGAATAATTGTATTTTGTATGTTATATATTTACAATGTAAAATCCAATCTTCGTTGTGAGCTAATTTTTCAATTATCTCATCCTTGCTTGTTGTCAAATGCCTATGAATATTCAAAAGATCCAAACCTTTCAATCTACTTTCAAAAGTTGTACTTCTTGGTATGTTTTTCAGAGAGCTGCAGGCCTGGCCCCCGGGCTGGACCGTATGGTAGGGCCCGAAATTTTTAAAAATAAACACCCGGGCTGAACCTGAATTTAAAAAAAACATTTAGGCCGGGCCTGAAAATTTTTTTTAAAAAAATATCCTGGCCGGACTGTATATTTTAAAACAGCCTATATTTGAAATCGTTATTATTAGCTATAAAAATCAAAAATAAATATAATTTATTTTAAAAAAATCCGGATCAGGCCTGAAAATTTTATTTTAAAAAAGGCCGGGCCGAGCCTGAAAATTGAGCTTAGCCGTAAAAATCTTTAAAAAAATCCGGGCCGTGCCCTGCAAATGGTACCTCTGCAGGGCTCTGTTATTCTTCTTAAAAAAGAGAATGTTCTCTCATTAGTTTACTATGGGGAAGAGTTGCTAATATATATAAACCCTTTTAATACATTGGGAATATAATCTAAAATGTGGTTGAATTAATGCAGAGCATCCATGGCATTTTTTGGGACTGCATTAACCATAGTTAATCTTATAAACATAGTTATTCAGCTAATAAGGCATCATAAGATCAACAAATATTTTTTTCTATCACCATCTGAAAAAGGTTGGAAAGCTTTTATGGAAATAATATTTGCAGATGAATAAGTGCTGCATAATGAATTAAAAACCATTAATTTATTTGGTTTATAAATGTATTTGTATCTAAGATATACTCTTCTACTGATCCTATATTAATGTTTTCTGTGAGCTTGCCTTGCTGCAAGTCGAGTGAGACAAATATTAAATACGTATAGCTCTGCTTTTGACTTAACAATAACATATAAAACATGAAATTCTTTATAAACATTAGCCCTAATTTCCTTGAATTCTAATAAAATGCTCTCCGCTATTTTCATCTTATTAATCAAGTCAATAATACATAAAATAGTTGTACATTCTAATGAGAAAAAAAATTTGGAATAAGCATTGAATCCAATAATTTGCTTCTAAGGAAAAATTTCTTTCAGGCCATTGTGATATGTCAGTAATAGCAAATAATCGGCTCTTCTAACTACATAAAAGCTGTTACTGCTATGGCGAAAACTCTATCTCGTAGTAAGGTTGCGATTTCTTTCTCCCTGTCGGACAATTTCAGAATAATTATTATTTGACTAAAAATTTAAAAATGATAGATAAATATTAAGCCACTAAAAATTTGAAGTAATATGATAATATTACGCCGGAAAACTTGAAATCGAAATTAATTGATAAACTTAGTTATGAATGTGATAATAAATGTAATTAAATATATATTTAATATGAGATAGGAATAAATATTAACAAATATAAATTAATATGTACTGTGTAAATTTAATTCAAAACACATATTTATTAATTTATTTGAAAATAAAATAATTTGACTTGTAAAAAGTTGTTAAAATAACATATTTATATATTCTTATCAATTTTTACAAGTTAAAATTTTTATTTACAAACGAATTAAAAAATATGGAAATCTTTAATTTAAATCTGCACAACACTCTAAACAAAAATATTTTTGAAAAATATATTCGGCATCTGCATTTTTTGGCTTTAAGGGGGGATTTGTCCCCCTGTCTCCCCCCCCCCCCGCTGCGTACGCCAATGGTTGTAAGGGTATAGTAAATCGTCATTGGTATGTAGAAGTCCAAAATAACTTTTATAAATTTGTTATTATGGGATTAAGTTTTAAAAAAAATTATCATATTAGACATATCTAACCTCTCCGAATGCTTTCAAGGGTTAACATTATTTTCGAACAATTTATGCAATATGTATATATATATATATAAAGGACATCCTTTTCACCTAGAAAGGAATTAATAGTTAACCAGTTTTATGATATAAAATTATAAATAAAACTACCAATATTTATCTCAGACAAAACTAAAATAAATTTAAATTATTTAAAATAATTTATTTGCCACCTACCTGACAATGAAGTTTTAAATATTTTGACTCCATTCGTTTACAAATTTTATTAATCTATAAAGTTGAAAATAGATAAAAAAATAAAAAACTATTAGAGAAAAGGAAATTTAAACCTAATAATAAAATCCATGTATATATATATTTTATCATACATCTGGAAATTTTTAAAGAATATAAATTATATCATTTCAAAAAGTTTATATTTGAAAGATTATACTAAAAAAATTATAGTTGGGACAAGAAAAAATATCTGAGGGAAATCATTTAAAAAAAATGTGTGCAAGTGTTATTTAAAAACAATTTAAATTTCAAAATATTTGTAATGTATACATCAAGGAGTATTGTTGTTATACGGCCCAATGTTATAGCCCAAAAAAAATATTGACCTAAGCCTTGAGATTTCGCTAATAGATGTCAAACCTTTGTGCCATCTAGCAAGATCTTTAGTCTTGCCTTATATTTTTCTGGTAAAAATATTTAGTTAGCCGTTTTTAAAAATCATCTCAAATCGAGCCGTAACAGCACTAATCAGGGGCGACGCTATGGTATAGTAAAAGGTTCAAATGTATTAAGAAATATAATATTTAAAACAATTCGGGATTGCGAAACACAAGTAAAGGGTGTCTTAACAATAATTTTAAGTTTAACTATTATAAAATTATAAAATTTGTTATGGATCTACAGAAATTGCTTAGAGTGTAAATATGTTAAAAACACTCTACAAAATGCTCGTTTTTTTAAATATAATGCCAATGTAATATAAGCGTGTGAAGACCACTGATGTTCTGTTAAAATATATTTTAACACTCTCCTTTGATACAATAACGTTCGTTGCTACATTAAATATTTTTAAAAAATATATAATCTTATTGTTACCGGGGCTCATTTTGAGCCGATTTATAAAAACGGCTAACTAAATAATTTATTAAGAAAAATAGTATGCAAACCTTGCTCCTAGGTGACACAAAGGGTTGAATATCTATTAACGAAATCTCGAGGCCTAGACAATAATTTTCTGGTTAAAATATTAAGTTAGCCGTTTTTAAATCCGGCTTAAATCGAGCCGTTTAACAACACTAGTTACCGACCCATGTTTTTGTCTACATTTAGAAATTTTTTTAGAAACCATTTTCTATATTCTAAGGTTAAAGATGTATGTATGTATATCGTTGAACGTCATTAATTTTTTTAAAAAATCTTTTATTAAAATATTAGAGAACGTCATAATTTTATATATAATTTTTATCGATAAGTATGTGTATCAAAAAGTTAGTCATGGATTTGAATCCATCGAGAATCAGGGTTTTTTCTTGAAGCCAACTTAGTGACCAACCCGCTACGCGGTATGGTAATATAGAACATAGTAAACAACCGCGTGATTCCGGTAATATATATTAAAATAAAAGTGGGCCTTATTGCATTTTAGGCAAAAATATAATTCATAAACTTTCTAACGAAAAAAAAAACGAGGTATTTTTTTAATATAAAAACTAAAAGGTGTTCTTAAAATATAATTATAGAAAATTTAAAAAAAATTTAACATACGATTTGATCAAAATTTAAAACTTCTAAAAGTTTCTTATTAAATTTTCGCTAATTTTTAAACCAGATTTAGGGCACAGTTTTGATAAAATTCGGTTCGCTATTTAGCAAATTTCTAGATGGTTGCACCTTAAATCTTGTAATTAGGATTATTAATATTGTTATATTAATAGATATTTAATTTTTTAAAGCTAAACCATCATAATTCATTAATTTTTTATGATATTTATAATCAATCTTTAACAAGGAAGGTATATTGGAGGTTTTTTTTTTAAAAAAAAGAGAAAGGGTTTAGATAGATTCAGTAATATAGTATAATATAAAAATGAAATAAATTATTCCTATTTTTAATAAATTATTCCTATTTTTAATAAATTATTCATCGAAAGGTAATAATTAATTAAATTAAGAATATAAAATATTGAAAAAAGGCACAAATTTATCATTTTATAAATATTTACATACGTATTTGAAATAGTTGAAACCTAAATAAACAAGAATAAATATATTAATAAGAGAAATAGATTTTTTTTCCTCTTCTTCTTTTATTTCAAGGTATATATTAGAAAATTTAATTAGATATTATTTTTTTTCTATTTAAAAAGTAGTCGATTAAATGTAAAGGTTGCGGTTCAAAGTACAAAGTCGGTTCCATAAAATAGGCCGAACCCGACCGGTCTTACAGATGTTCTTTTTCGGCCAATTTTTTATTATTAAAAAATTTTATTTTTATTTTACTCGGGATAATTTTTTTCCCTTTCTTCGTAAAAAAAATAAATTCGTCGAAAAGAATTTTTCATATCATATACTAGGCAGACCTTGTTTTTTTAGTAAGATCCAGTGCCCGCTATCGCGGTGGTGGGCATGATATAATAATTTCATTAGAATATATGGGGGTCGGGTTGTTTGAATCAATAGTCCCTCTCCCAACCCTTTTTTTTAAATACAATTTTTATATAACAACTCCCACCCCACCCCACCCCACCCCCTTCCTTTCGATCCTTAATTATTTATAAATATAAAATAAAATCTAGTCATGGGCAGGGGTAGATATTTTTGGAATATGATTTTCAAATTATTTATATAATATGTATATATATAATATTCGCAAAATATGTTTTAAAGAAACGAAATTCTAGACCAGAACAGTACTGATTCGATTGCTATCTGTCAGCATCTTGAAAACATGGAGGTAATATGCTTAGATTATCTCTTCTCTTAGGAGCATACTTTTACCCCCTGCAATAAAATAACTTAGAAATAAGTTACAAATTATTGATAAAATACATGTAAATTTTAATTGTGGTAAGAGGCATACAGTTAGTGAATTCGCACAGATTTCTGTTAAACAATTAGTACCATATGGTTATATTTATTATGATTTAAACTTTATTTAGTCTATAAAATGAATATTTTGTATTTCATTGAATTAAATTTGGTGGCTTAGCAACTAATGAAACGTTTTAATTGTGTAATTCAAACATATTTTTTTTTCTTACACTAAAAGGGTTATATGAAATGACATGTTTAAACTTTGGCGCAATTAGATTAAATTTCGATCTAATTAAGGATTAATTAAAGTCAAATGTCATTATAAACCGTTAAAATATCTAAGATATTATTTTTAAAAAAATGTTTTTCTTGAAAAAAAATAAAACCCAAATATATATATAATTTTTGAAAAATATGGAATCTAGCCAAATTTCTTCTTCAAATAGGAAATCTAAAAATAATCCAATAAATGGTAGGGAAAGATTCAACCAAAAGCCTTTCTTTCTTTTACGAAAATCAGGGATACGCCACGTGTCATTTCTCACTTGCATAATTGTAAATTTATTTATAAAATGTTAAAAACGATACAGAAAATTAAAATTTGAAACTTTTTACTTAAAATTTATTAACTATCTTCATTATATCTTTCTTTTCTTTTAACTTATGACTTGTTGTAGGAAAAAAATTTATTTTAGACTTACTCGATTTATTAGTAATAAAGATTAACCATCCCAACAATTCACAGCCGAAATGTGATGAATAAGATTTTAAAAAAAATAGTAATAGAACTAGACTAAAACAACAAGGGGAGAGTCTATGCGTAGCGAGCTACAAGGAGATAGAGTACACTAGTTAGATCTTAACTATTTATGGAAATAAGAAGATAGGGTCGGATTGAACTCAGACCTTGAAAAAAGAGTAGCCCCACTCACCCAGAATTTAGTACAGTTAGCCCATATTCGTGGCGAAGTATATAAAATTTGCGAGAAAGAATACAAGAAAGTAGCATATTTTGTAGACGCCACGAATTCATGCTAAAGTGTGAATGCAGGGTTATGGAACGGCTAAGCCGGTCCTTTTTAAATATTCGATTCATGACTCTAATATAAAATACGCCCTTTAATTTTTAATCATATCGTCTCTTATAAAGAAAATAATGATTAATAACTTTCACTAGTAGATTCCATTCTTGAAGCTACATTAACAGCATCTCCAAATAAACAATATCTAGGCATCTTAACTCCAACGACTCCAGCCACTACTGAACCTTAAAAATATTTTTTGTAAAAATATACATTTAAATAATCATTATTTTTTTTTAATCATTGATTAACCTTATTTAGTTGTTTTGAAAATGTGTTTAGTAAATCTAATATTTTTAAATATACAATAAAATAAACGTTTAAGGCATTACCAGTATTAATGCCTATTCTGATTTCAACATATTTTGACTTTTTATGGGGCATCTCGATTGTGTGGCACAGGGAGTTTAGATCGAGAGCTAATAAACAGATCTCTTCCACGTGGCGAGTCCCATTCCTTCTGGGAAGTCCACTGCATGTCATATAGGCATCTCCTATAGTTTCAACTTTGTAAACATCATAATAGTCTAAGCGCTTGTCGAAGAAGGTATATAAATGATGGAGAAGATTTAAAACCTGGTATATAATAAAGAATAAAATTACTTATATGTTGGCGTAGACAAGAGGGGGGGGGGTTAGGGTTTAATTCCCTATAACCCACTATTTTTTATTTCAAAACAATTATTTATAAGTTAGTAATATATTTTATTTATATTGTATAAATTAGATATTTATAAATATAATTTATATTGCTAAATAAATTAGATTTATAAATATAATTTGAATTGTTAAATATCTAATGAATAAACTGAAAAGAACAAGCAGCATCTATATTTATAAAGATCATAGAATCAATCATAAGATTCAAAAATATTTTTAATTGGGGAAAAACTTCAATGTATTTAAGCGTAACTGACTTTTGAATCGTAATTTTAAAATTCGATATTCAAGACTCGGCCGAAGGCATGTCGTAATTTTTATTTGACTTATAACTAGTTTTTATTTATTGATTTAAAAAAATTTATGATAAATTAGTAGATATTAATCATGCCTTACATTGTTCATTGCTTCTATGATTTCCCTTCTAACATGATGTCAATCTTGACAATTTATTTTTATTTTTCCAATGATGTTTTTTGTATTAAAAACTATCTTCAAACGGGTTAAAGAACTAAAAAGTTTGAAATAAGCACTAGTTATTGACATAAAGATAATATTATTTTATCTTTAAGGCGTGATATCATAGTTTGCATTTTCTTAGTAATTCAGTTATTTTTTTTGTGGGCTAATTGGTGGAAGAATTAATGCTATAAATATTAAGGCAAATAGCTAACTTCTATATTCTCCGTTCGGACATGATGCTAATTTTTACAATTTTTTATTTTTTGCCAATAATTCTTTTCCCCTTTAAAATATCTACCACGAATAAAACAATAAAATGCTCTAATAAAGCTTCACCTAATGGTTTGGTATAAGTTTCAGACTTTTTATTTTATGGAATTAAAAGTACTAATCAAACATTTCCATTCTATCATAATTCCAATTTTTTTCTTCCTATTGTCAAACGTATTAAATTAATTTACAATTGATTGAATAACATTTTCAGGAAAATGCTTTCAGTCGCTTTTTATTCGTAAGTTTGGCCAACTATTTGTTGATAATTACATTCATGTTGGCTACTCTACTATACTGGTTAAAATCGAACACTTATAAATTACAAAATATTGGCATATTTTAGAATTAATATATTTTCAGCCAAATTTAAGGGAGATGATATAAAGATAACCATTTAAATATCAACAATATATAATAATTTTTTATAGGAGGGACCCTGTCGAAGGCAGGTCAAAACGAGGTTTGTATTCAATGTCCCGAAAAAATTTTTAAGCCTCTCCTATGGATAAATCATTGGCTAACTTTTGAGCTACTAAGCTGACACATTTGTACTAGGGTTCAAGCTAATCAGGTGACAAAATTAAATGGTCGTCTTCATACGTTCGACGATCAGATTTGAATCATAGACCTAATTTTTGAGTTATACTAATCTGACACATTTATAATAGATTTCAACCTAATCAGGTGATACTGGTCATCTCATACGTTCAACAATCAGATTTGAATCAGATGCCTAACTTTTGAGCTACTAATCTGACATACTTATACTGGTTTCAACCTAATCAGGTGATAAAATTAGATGGCCGTCATCATACGCTAGACGATCAGATTTGAATAAGATGCCTAACTTTTGAGCTACTAATCATATTTACACTGCTTTCAACCTAATCAGGTGATAAATTTAAATGGTCGTCTAACATTTACAAAAGGTTTCAACTTAATTCAGGTGATAAAATTAAATGGTGATCTCTATACGTTAGTGTGGGGGATTCTATAATTTCTCATTAGACCATTAGCTAAAGAATATTATTTTCATTACATTTTTCTTTAAATAAAAATAATGTATAAATTGTATATTAATGAATACGAAAATGGATATTAAAAATTAAAAATATTTATTTTATTTTAAATTTTATTTTTGCAATCTTATTTTTCTTTAGCAATAAATTTTAATTTATATATTTTTTTCATGAAAACAAAAAATAGTATTTATAAGTGTATGATTCGTGGAAAAAATAATTAGATATTATAGCTGATTTCGAATCACACACACAAAGTATAATATTATTTATGCCAAAATTGTATCTATTAAAATTACGATATTCTTCTTTTTATAAATAATTTATTCTACCTAAGACCTCGTCAAATATTTATTAGATGATGAGCAATATACATATATATCGCAGATCAATAACAAGCGATTATTTATTGTATTGCTCCAATATAAACATTTCCTCTTACTCGTTTATATTTTATATAAATTAAAAAAAAAAATTAACATTCATGCATGCATAAGAGGCCCCGAATTAGAATTTTATTTCCTAATCGATTCAAAGTTATGTTTAACAAAATTTCGCATTTGAATATAAGTTGTCGGTAGGAAAATAGGGTTTAAATCATAACCCCTAAATAGTTAAACAATTTAACTTAAGTAGTTCGAATGAGATGGGTGTTTAATTTTGAAAAAAATAACATTTTTTTTTCTCTCACATTTGTTCTATTTTAACTTTTGATTCTTGGATTTATTTCTTAAATCGTAATCGAGGAAATGTCTATTTGTTTATATATGATCATACTTTGAATATAACAAGAAATCATATTTTATTCATAAAAAATGAATAACTTTTGGTATTTTGGTCTAAACCAGATATTATAATAAGTCAACTTATTTTATCTTTCATTTATTTTTTAAAGTGAAAACTAAATAATTAAGGTATCAAGAATTATATTATAATGGGTGATTTTTTAAATTTGCTAATGCAGGCTAAAATGTATTTAAATCGTACAAATAATCAAATACGCTTTGGTGAGATGCTGGAAATACGTTTTAGGTGTGACCAAAATGTTAGATTTTATAATATAGACTCACTTGTAAGGGTGTGCATTGAGCGGAGATGGCAGTGAACCCCACTATATCATTAAACATGATGGTAACCGAATCGTAAAACTCTGGACTTATCGAATGACCTTTCAGCAAACCATCAGAAACATGTCTAGGTAGGATTTTATGAAGCAGCTCAAGACTGCGGCCTAAATTATCTGTCACCCGTTTTCTGTTCAGGTTTATGAGCTTGCATATGATATTGTATTCTTGGTTAAGTCTAATCACATTCCGGTGCAACATGAAGTAGTTTAAATATAACAGTGCGACAGACATGATGGCGTATAAAATGGCGTTGTAAAATGACGCAGTATGGCAAGAGTTCCTATAAAACCAGAATGCCGTTGGATAGATGAAATTTTTGGAGCTATTTAGTATGCACCCATCTTGCCGGTGATTTTTCATATTTTCACATATGGGAGTGGTGTATGTTCGATTGGGAAGATTCACGTGAGCTAATTTTTTTAAAGGATAATAAAAAAAAATTTTTTTTATATAACAAATTACATTAAATTATCATAATTACTTAGAAGTGCGAAGTCGTCTATTCTGATATAGGAAAACTTTTCTATCATTCGTTGATTTTTTCTATGCAAATATATAAGGTATATTTAAATATGAATTAGTTGGGGAAGTGAAGGGGGGTACGATGGTTGACCCATCCCTGAAATTCGTGATTTTGGTTGATTTTTAAAAACAGCTTGATTAAAATTTACTCTAAGATTTTGCTTATGGATGGCAGAAAGATTTAGAGGACCTCTATTTGCCCACTCTCGTGACTTACATAATAATATTTTGGCTAAAATCTTTATCGGGCCGTTTATAAAAATTGACCCAAATCGGGACGTTTAACAAAACTACCGGGGATTCTAATGCCAATAACATTAATTTTGATTGACTCATTACATGAAGTTATTTATATATAACGGGTGTTATGTGCAATTAGATATCAATACCTAATTATTGGAAGGCAAAAAATTTACTAATTATATCTTTCTTTTAAATTATTTTTTAAGAATATTAAAAAATATATATATAGGGAGATTTAAATTTAAATTTTTAAATTATACCTAAAATTCCCAAATCTTTTCTGTAAAAAAGATCTTTTATAATTCAATTTTATGATCTTCTAAAAAATTTTCAAAATTTTGATCAAGATAAATCTTCAAAATGATCTTATTAAATATATTTTAAACTAAAGGTTGTTGGAGGTGTAAAATGTTTTTTTGGCGCGATCCGAAATAATTTTTTTTTCCCTTACCCCATAAAAATAATTTTCTACATTGTCCAGCTCCGCTCTTGATAATTTTTTATAAAAAAAAAATTACACAAATTAGTATAATTTTAAGATTAAAAAAAAAGGCTCCTTCAGAAGGAAAAATCTTTTGTCCAAGCCCGGTTTAGCCCCCCAACCTCTACTAGATCGTGAATTAAAACACACATCATCTTTTCAGATTTTATTTAGAAGCTATGCCTTGTTCAATCAACTCTATTTCAGTTCACTTAGACCTTGAAATATATTTAATGTAGATATACGATTTTTTTAAAAACGAAAAATGGAGGTTAGCATTGCAGCAGCGTTATATAAATGAAATAAGTTTCTAGATTCGTCGCTGTTTGGTAATGTGTGGTTTAATTCAATTGTAAATGCTTACAAATTAAACGATTAATAACAACACAACTGTATAAATAATTACTTCAGCTTAAAATTTATTGAGCTTCTTTTACTGCAAAAATAAAGAAATTATATAGATTTTTTCGCATGAGGATATTCGAAATGTCTCAATTTAAAATCATTTATAAGAAGCGATTTGAAAACATCTGATCATACCAGAATGTCTTCAACATGAGTGGAGTACTTGCCCAATAATTTTGCTCTGAACTTTTAAACTAGTCTTATAAAAAAAAATACACAAAAGTTTATGGCGAAATTGTCAGAAACTCATATGATAGGTGTAGGTATACTCTACATATGTTTAAAATATATTTCCGGTAAAAATAGAAATTTTTTTTCGGATGTAAAAATCTCCTTAGAAAGGGATTTAAAATTGTAAACCAAATATCCTCATTTTAAGGATTTCGGAGATGAACTATATCCCGAATAAACTTATCCAAATAATAGCTAAGGTTAACAATGATTTTATTTAACTTAGCGAATTTATTAACCACTGTTTAAATAAAAACACTCACAAATATTTGATAAATGCTTTTGTCATTAATTAGGCCATTAAAAGTTGTTAATATATAATAAATAATTACATAAATATTTAAACTTTATTTTTTTGATTTTTATTGGACATAATTTATGATTAATATCTCATTTAAGGATTATCACGGCTTACAGTGCATTTATATACATATATATATTATATTACAATTAGAGATCTGCAAAGTTAGGCCCAACCCGTACCCGGCCGGCCCGAACGGACGGGCTGGACTCGGGCCTAATTTTATTTAAAATAATTGGGTTGGGCCGGGCCGATTATTTTTATAAAAAAATTCGGGCCGGGTCGGGTCGGACTTTGGAAATTTTTTTAAATATATCTAAATTTATTAATTTTATATTGAATTTTTTATGTAAAATAAAAATATTTTATTTTATTTATTGAAACTAAACGACATATAACATATGTCTTTTATTTTGAATAATTATAAAAATTGATTTCTACATTTAAATAAATTCGGGCCGGCAAAACTTTTTAAAAAAAATTTCAGGTTCGGGCCGGGCCGGCAAAACTTTTTTAAAAAAATTTCGGGCTAGGCCGGGCTTGAAAAATTAGGCCCGATGCAGATCACTAATTACAATGTCAGTTTTATAGTTACAATTTCAAAACAAAGACATTTTAAATTCAAAAATTTATGAGGTATACTTACAAACACACCAAATTAATTGGTACGTGGTATATAGATTTAGATCAGATATAATTATTAATTCTACCAGATAGAAGATAAATTTTTTTTTTATAAAATTTGTCATATTGTTTATTTATTTAAATAAGGAATAATGGCGAAAAATATTTCTTTTTTGTCATTACTTTTATTTTGTTGAGAGTAGAGGTTTGCAATGCCCGGATAACGTCTAAAAATTTTAATATAGGATGAGCAAAAAATTATTGGGCTGGATTATTGAGGAATTCTGATAATTGATAGAAGTGATAATCCATAAAGTGCTGTGTTATAGTTAGAATAAAAGTTATGCAGAGATAAGTGGCATAAATGGCCATGTGACTGGCTATGCCAGACTAAGGATTGAAATAAGTATTTAGCATGTTTCGATGAAATTTATAAATATATGAATAGATGAGTGGTTAATTTTTAAATGTTCAACATCCAGATAATAATTTATGATATATTATTATTGAATAGATGAGTCTGATGGTAAAATGAAATGTTAATATTAATTATTTATTGTAATTTTTAATTTATGATATAATTCTTGAATAATATCTTATGGCCAGTTGAAACGTACCATGTTTGAACTGGGCCAGAAAGTCAACACTTTCACATAAACTCATCTGGCTCAAAAACTGTTATAGATACAGCTATGATTCAAATTATTTTAAAGTTAAATATTGGGCTCGACTTTATATTATATTTATATGATATATTACTCTAAAATGTTTCCTCGTTGAAGCTACTATTCTTGTTTGTTGATAAAATTTTCTGGCACTCTTAAAATTTAAATTTATACCCTGTGTTAAAATTTTTATCGAGATTAAAATATTTTACGAATTCAGGAAAAGAAAATTCGATAATATCATCATTTTTCAGGGAAATTATTTTGCTTATATGATCTTTACCAACATTATCTTCAATATCAATCTCTATCGTCGACATTTAAAATTTTAAATTATTTTGAAAATAAGATTTATAATTTTTAAATATAAATTTAAATTTCAAAATTAAATAAAAAAAACTATGCTTTTAGAATTAATTATAAATATAATTTAATAATTTTTATGTGTATTTATTATATAATACTTCGCTACTTTCTTAATTAATAGCTAGTTACAGCTATTTTTTTTAAAAAGTAACGCGATATGGTAGCACAACTGATAATTATAACCAAATTTGGCATCTAACCAAAATAAATAAACAATATACCAATTTGCTCGGTACTGCCTAACCCCTCATTCATAGTTAGTGGGAATTCGCTGTGAATTATAAAAAATACGCTTTATTTTTGTTTTCTACACCACGAATTCGCGCCAACTGTGTATGCAGGGTTAGGCAGTATCTGCTAATTTCTCATTATAGGAGGTTCAGATTAGAGATCTGCAAAGTTAGGGGGCCTAATTCTATTTAAAATAATCGGGTTTGGGCCGGGTCGGGTCGGACCTTGGAAATTTTATTAAATATATCTAAATTTATCAATTTTATATTGAATTTTTTATGTAAAATAAAAATTTTTGATTTAATTTATTGAAACTAAACGCTATATGTCTAAGTAATTATAAAAATTAACTTCTATATTTAAATAAATTAGGGCCTGGCCGGGCCGGTAAATTTTTTTAAAAAAATTTTGGGTTCGGGCCGGGCTTGAAAAATTAGGCCCGATGCAGATCATTAGTTCAGATATTGCAACTAAAAAATTATTTGAACGAAGTTTCTGTTATTTTTTTCTCGGTGAAATATTAATCCTTCTATAATTAAATTTTATTATATTATTAAATATGCATTAAAATTTAAAAAAACATATTTCTTTAAATTTATTTTGATATATTATTGAAATAAGACACATGTGATGTATCACTGTATTTCGTTGATTACATAAAAAATTAAATCTAATTATAATAATAAATTAATCAAAAATTTAGTGCTCTTTAAATATTTTTTCTTATATTTGTATTTATTTATGATACCGACAATGAGCTCAATCGTAATCAGAATCAGGCAATAATTTCACATTCCCGTTTGATACCTTTATAAGTCATAAATTAAAAATGACTCCAAGGTGATTACCAAACATAGTCTAAAATTTTAAAAGGATCATAACTATTTAAAGATGTTATATTTAACCTTACGAATTCATTGTGAAGGATATAGCATTAATTAAAGATAAAATTTAAGTAAGGCCTCAGTGTTCAAGCGTTGCGTTAAATGTATAAATATGAAGCTTTATGAATGATAACGCTATGATAAAATTTGAAAAACATATAATGCGATGAGTTGCTAAAATAATAGCGAATTCGATAAAAAGGTAATATGATTTTTCTTAAAATGATATATAAAATAATTTTATCTCTATTTTAGAAAATGGAATCAGCTGTGATAACGCTGCGTTGAATAACGCTACGCTGAACATAACGCCTTTGTTATAAGTGAGGCCTAAGGCTTTTAAACTTTGATATTAATCATCTTTTTTGCTCCAAGAGTTGAGTGAAAATCACCTTTGCAAACCCGGGTTTCGAACACGCGCGGTATCGACAAATATATATATATAATCTTAGATTTATGAATTTTCTAAAAAAAAAAAACAATTCCAACAACACAGACTCCTATAAAATTACTATTTTTTCAATCATGGTAAATAAAAATTCCAGTCACGCTACCTAAAAGAAGAAACATTTTTTTTTTTTTAAAAAGTT